TGGGGAAGCGACTGGAAAACCTGGGTCGATACCTCCTATTAGTTATTATGGCTCCGGGCATAACTTATCTTAACCTTGTGTATGAGGATGGTATACCAATATATGTTTGTTATACATATACATATACAAATATAAGCAGCAAAGGGAAATAGTTTCGATTATATAAACGCCTTTTTTAACCAACCAAGCTCGAAAGTTTGGTTTTGTTTGATTCCAAGTGACCTGATTGGGTTCCTGGGAATATTGAATCCACTTGTCTAGATAGGGGACTCCAAGCGACTATTACGCCGAGCTTGGGGGATATAGCCCTCAGCGTTCCTCTCCCGGTAAGGCCAAGACCTTTCCTCATCGTATTGTCTCCTAACGCCTTTTGGGAGGATACAATTGTCTTTAAAGTCCCATTTACGCAAAATGTCGTCCATCATTCTCTGGATGGCGCTCTGTGGGATGTCAATCCATGGACGGAGATGGATACAAAAAAAGCGTACATGTGGACAGCCAGTGAGCAATACAAAAGCTGCTTCTCCATACCCGTCGCCTCGGAGAAGATACAGCAGCTTTAGGGCAAACTCCCTACTCTCCTTTGATAGACGATTCATCATGATCTGAACTCCGTCTCTAGGAAGCCCACCTGATCAACCAAATGTTAACCATAAGCATTTCCATTCATTGACGATTCATACTTACGTGTGCCAAAGCGCATGGCCTCTCCATCTCTCAAGGGTATTAATGGTGGAGAGGTGAGAATGATAAACTCGTTGGTTATCAGTCTCCCAAAAGGTAAAAGAAGACGAGATCCCACTCACACAAAGCAGTGTACCAAGCTCTTCATCAGTAAAGGTTTTTAAGGTGTCATCCAGAGAGACATCAGGTCGAAATTGACGCTCCAGCTCATAGATATGTTGTATAGATGGAACGAGGGAAACCTATACGTTATTGGTCGGTTGATATAGGTCAAGAGGCCAGTCTAAGCTAGAAAGAGCGCGTTTACAAGGAAAGAACCTACAGTGTACGAGAGCCCTCTTCGGTCCAGTATAGCATCCGCTGCCTTCTTCATGACTTCTTTCTCTATTTCGGTTCCAAAGACGATAGTGGACCTTGCTTCCCCAGTCTCAATGTCAATATACGCGACCGGTTTTATATAGGTATGCTCTGCTTCAAGTCTTCGATATTCATGCGCCCTGCCGACGAAAGCGACAGACGAAAACCGTTCTATCTGATCTCTTGTATGACCGAGACCAGTGACCAATTTCAAATAAAGGGCGCTATTAGTGAATAAATTAAGTCTTTGAGTCGATCACAGTTGTTGATTTGAAGCTTCACCTGTATTGTGTGCCAATCTTCTGTATAACGCCTTTGATATTTTCGCTACGGTCCTGATGGATTTCCACTTGTCCCTATAAGCTTCTTGAATAAACCAA